ACTTGCATAAAAGTTGCACCCAGGTGTCGGCTTGAAAAAGTAATTGACGGAATTTGCCTATCTCAATCCAAAAAAAAAAAAATGGCAGCCATTTCCGGCAATGGGGTAAAAGGGACATCCCCTGCGGTAATTAGGGACACCCTTAAAAACGCATTTACAGTAGAACCTCAGTTAGCAAAGGCTCCAGTTAACAAAAAAATTGATTAACAACAAAGGATTTTGACTACATTTACCTTGCTCAGCGAAAAAAATTTGCTTATCAAAAAATTAGTGCATCATCGGTCCTCACAAAATTGTACATAAAATGCTATATATAGAATTGTGCACTGGGCATCATAGAATGAAAAGTAATTGACCTAAACTATGATTTATTTCTCCAAAACATTTGATGGTTGTCACTAAAACATTATTTTCTGTTTCAGGTATGTTTTTTCACTATCTTTTTTATTGTAAATTCACTTAACCCAATTAAAATGGTGTGAAATTACAAGCTGTCCTGTAAGCTAACAGATACAGAAGAAATGATATAAGGCTGCTGATATGAAGCTTGCAGTGGACAAGGTCGTTGTAAATGCTCAATGGCATGTTCATGGATATGGTAATATCACATCAATAATACAGTAATTAATGAATATGGTAATATCACATCAATAATAAAGTAATTAATGAATATGGTAATATCATATCAATAAAGGAAAACCAAGTAAAAATCACAGAAAATGTCATTTATTTTAAATCTACATCATCTAGAATGAAAGAGGAGGACTTCAGAGTACTGTTAGTAATGGATGAGTACACTCTGCATGCTTCAAATGTCTTAAAATTAACTTTTATTGCAAGTGTCCCGTATTACTCCTTTCCCAGGGGTAAATCGGGACGGTTTTACTTTGCGTCTGGCACCTTACGAATGGGGGAATAGCATATGGAATTTTTTTGAAGATGCCATTTGATAGCCCTCGCAAAGAGCTATAAAATGAGCCTAAACTTGTTTTTAAAATGTTTCATGGTAAGAAGTTATTAACAAAAAATGATCAAAACCATCCTCTTTTATCCTGTTTGTGTTTGACTGTATGTGTTTTTTCCAATTTTGCATTATTTAGGTTCCTTGTCATTTGTCAAAAACTACTCAAAATACAAGCTGGTAAAATTTTCAGCAGAAATACTGGAAGATACCTTGAAGGCTTTAGCCTTTAGGTTTGAAACAAATTTCTAATTGCTATGTGCAAATCTTCAAAAAATATAAGGAAAATACTGATGAATATTTTTTTTCAATCTTGCACTAGATATGATTTTGAATTTTACGCGGCATGCAACTGATGCAAGTTGAAAGCGACGCTACATCAGTGATGATCAGTCATCATACATGTAAGTGATGTAGGTAACTGATATAAGTATTGAATACTGTTGGACATGACACAAGTAATTGCTAACATTTCATCACTATGAAGCCATATATGTCATCTTTAGAGTAGAATTACGATCGCGGACACCTCTTTATTTAAATGCTTTCAATACAATGGACGATACTTTCAATTGGTCCCAACATGTTCTGTGCTCAAAATATAGCAAGTGACTAATGATATTATGGATGTAATGAAAACATGTTCTTATCTCTCTCCTTCAGCATTATAGGAATGAACTGTGGATAAAATTGATCAAAGGGACTGCATGCTTCAGAAGAGGTTCTCAAGAAGAAGAGGTTCTCAAGCGCCTTATCGCTGTAAATCCAAACAAGTCATGTGGACCAGACGGTTTCCACCCCAGATTACTCAAAGAGTTAGCAACTGTCCTAGCCGGCCCTCTGACGTCACTTTTTCGAAAAACTTTGAACGAAGGAATGTTGCCGGCTGACTGGAAAGAAGCTCAAGTAAGCAGCTATCTCAATCAATCGTCAGTTATGGAAAGATCGGGTTCCAAAGGCCGGATCCCTTGTGAATCAAGTCACAAAAAGTTCAAGAATCGGCAACAGGCCATGGGCCTATGTCTTCAACGCCGACACTTCTATTCTATTTTATTCTATATGAGGGACAGAGAGGGACTCAGGACTGGGACTGCATGCGTCAGCTCTCTGGCAAACAAGGCAGTAATCATACAGCATGGCTTAGATTGGCTCGAAATACTATAGTTCCATAAAATTCCTACCTTAATCGATATGCTAGAGATCATTAACGTAGAAAGATCAAGTGTAATAATTAGTTGCAACTTGCAATAGCTTTTCTTCTTCTTTCTTTGCAGGGTGTCCACTTGGAGTGGACTTAAAGCCGCAGGTCTGCCAGATGGATGACCGTTGGGCCTGAGAGCTTATAGCTTGGGGTTTTCAGCTTCTTTGTATATAAAGTTAATTGCTGCCATTAAGTGACGTTGGCTGATGTAAGCTCAGTGCAGGATTGGGTAGAAGTTTACAGGGAACATATATTAGTAAATGAAATGAGTTACTGCTTATGTAATTTAGATAAGTAAGGGCTGCTAATATAACAGCCTTCATTAAACAAAAAAAAATAATAATAATAATAATAATAACAATAATAATAGAAATATATACATAATTATAATAATATTGAAAAAATACCTAGATGATCTACTTGCTAAATTAAAACATATATCAGCAGTGGCCATGCATTAACAATTCTATCATGCTTCCATATGTACAGCTCTGCAAGGCGCTCATCTAAAGCTTGCAATAGCACTCAGTAAATTCAGAGACCAAGAGGCAGCATCGAAAATGAGACTGACTAAAACCCGGACCCGGACCGGTCCGCCGGACCAGGTTCACATCGAGCGTGACGTCTCGGACAAATTCACGGCCGGGCTCCAGATTCAGTGTACATCGAATATCTCCCAAAGTGCTGAACGTAGCTCGATGAAACTTGGTACACGTATTCATTATGGCCTGACGGTGATGTCACGCTCGTGACAATTTTTTTAAATTTCGCCTTCATTCGTGAGTTATATGAGGAAACGTGCCGAAATTTGCAGTGTACAGAAAATTTCTCCTAAAGTACAGAACAGATTTGAATGAAATTTCGAATATAAATTTCTGAATACTGAACGGTGATGTTTAGCTCGTGAGAATTTTGTACAATTTGCTTTCGTTCGCGAGTATTTTTCTCTTTTCCCTCATTCGTGATTTAAACACGTCTCGGACGAATTTACGGCCGGACCCAGCAAAATTGTGCTTAAATTCGCAGTGTACACGAGATTTCTTCTAAAATACTGAACAGATTTGAACGAAACTTTGCATATAGAAACCTAACCTCCCAACGGTGATGTTCAGCTCGTGACAATTTTTTCGATTTTGCCTTCGTTTGCGAGTTTACGGCTTTACGTATGGCTCTTGGTCAATGCAAGTTCAAAAATCGGCCCAGAAATGCCGGTCGTTTCCCCGTATATCCGTACAACTCGCAAGCGAAGGCAAAATCGAAAAAATTGTCCCGAGCTAAACATCACCGTCAGGCCATAATGAATACGTGTACCTACCAAGTTTCATCGAGCTACGTTCAGCACTTTGGGAGATATTCGATGAACACTGAATCTGGACACTGGCCACAAGTCCGGCCGTAAATTTGTCCGAGACGTTCGAGCGTGGCGTTTATTTCTGGTTGCGCATGAACTAAAAACAGTAAATGACCGGACCGTTAAGGTTTAAGGAAGCATGCTCTTGGCTTTTGTGAAAAAAGTTTGAAGGCCCCTGGCCTAGACCCAGACTTACCATAGCGAGGGATGGGCGAACTAAATACGGCAAAGCAGCCTGCCAATATCCCGGCCATAATGAAAATTTCAGAAACCCTACACCAAAACAAAATTGAGAAACACGACACGTTAACAAGCGTCAACGTGCAGAAGTTGCAACACGCTTGAATGAATACTTGCTAAATAAAATTTTCTCTGAGTACTCAATATTCATTCGAAAGCATAATATTAACTTTAAAACTAAGAGGATTGACTTCTTCAAAACTGCTTGCACTATCTTTAAAAAAGTAAATTTTGAGTTCGAAGGCAATTAGAGACATAAACTATCATTTTTCTGGCAATATTGATCGAAAGAAAATATTTTAATAAATCTTAGTAATGCGGTGATCCAAGCCCCATCATTTTAAAGAGACCAGTTTGTACCGCAAGGAATCGTAAGACTAAACGGCGGAAGGCAGAATGAAGTCTGTTGTACAAAATGCAGCCTGCACATGTATATCATTTGTAGCAGGTGTTTTGGACAAAAAATCGAGTTGCCTGGCTAATGTTCATGTGCAACAAAGCTTCATCAGACTATTAAATTATCTTTAACTGGACTTACATGTGCGCTGCTATATTTTTTAGCGAATTTTCTCATTTATGGAAATGCACTATTGTGCTCGCCATGTCCGTCCGTCTGTCTGTCCGTCCGTCCGTGACTTCACGTTTTGGGAGCGCAGTCGTGCACCACCAATTTCGTGCACCAATAAGCCCTAAATCGAACGCCTTGGATCTCTCCGGACCTACACCAATCAGCCGTGCACCACTCGGATTTGTTCTCTTCCGGCCTTGACCACCACCTGCCGTGCACCACCAGGCCGCGTATCGAATATGACTTTCAGGCATCGTTATATTACGTAATTTTACGTTCACCGCATCTGAGGTTAGGTTTCAGATAGCATAGTTCTGTTCCAAAATTTATCGTCCTTCGACAAGTGGCCGTTCGATCGAGGGCTGTTTCGACCCACGGCCTAGATACGGACGGCTTGAAGTGTTGAAGGCTACGTTCCGGAAGGCAGGAATCATGATGGTCCATTACATCCAGGGCAGTGGTGGTCTTCGGCAGGCGACCCCACGTTTTCGTCGACGAGAAAATGCGCTCCCTGTCACTCACTGCAGTGAGTACCGAGTTATATTTTTTCCACGATTGGTCTACCGAGTTCAGCCAGTGTTAGATCGTTGGAGTAGTCAGAAGTGGTGCAGGATCAGAAAGCCACTATGAAATTATATAATTTGATACAAATTCATTAAGATGAATCAGAATCGTGAATCACTTTCATAACATTAGAACAAGGTCAAAAGTAAATACTTAAAATGAGGGAATAAACAGATGAGAAACGAGAAAATTACTACTAAGTAAAACAGAAGAGCAGACATGAAACAGAACATAACTACCCAAGAGAGAAAGTTAACCTAATGTGATAACTAGACGCGAGAAAAAAGTCTGATTAATTTTGTATCAACAGAAAAGGTACGAGAAGAGCACAACAAATAACAATTGAAGAAGAAGCGAGAGTGCTTAAAAAACTGTAGACTGATCACAAAATGGTGCTGCGGCTTCTAATCTTGTTCGAATGCATTCTGAATTCGATGGTAGTGCTCGATGGGATGCCCATGCATCGCTTCATCACTTTCCTGCAAAACGTGTAAAAAATATTCAGCGTTATTAAAGTGATCTGTTCGCAGCTGAAGCATAAACTTCTTCGCAGCAACGTCAATTTCCACATTAAATCTTGCCCATTTTGGAATAGGGTTTCTGAATAGCTAATGAAGTTTTCTACGACGTTAGTTTTGAAAAAAATACATATGTTTCATCTAATTAAAGCTATATAGAAATGGTAGCACCAACGCAAAATGAAGTATTTTTGAAAGGCTATTTCACAGGGAAGTAAGTATAGCGAAAATTCAGAATAATAATAGATGGTCAGTATAAAATATCGTTAGTATTTATAACACACCCAACTTTCAAAGTGACCTCAAACTTCTTGGTTGGTGCACACCACAGAGAAACTAGATCCTGCTTCATTCTGCGAGTGATGATGGCACCTGTAATGTTGTTGTTGACGCACTCTTCCTCATCCTCACCAACCATCATCATGATCTGTGATGAAAATCACCACTAAACAATTTTAATGTTCCTATATCCCCTTTTACAAAGAGGTATTAAAAACCGACTTCACGGTTCTATAGTGAGATGCGATACATAATTCGCACAATAAAACAAGGTTCAATATGATTAAAAGTTTTTCTGTTTATAGGAGCCTAATCATGAAAAGCTTGCTGGAATCGATAACGCTTAAAATCGGCATTCTCTTGGTCGTGGACCAAGTGGGACCAAGTGGAACTAAACGCACTTTACTATAGCATTACAATGAGCATGCGACAATAGCTGCATATGCTCACCAGTTCCAGCCAGTAATTATCAAGATGAGTGAATCGTTGGTGCCAAGAAGTTTTGAGCGTCCACCTGCCACCACCGGCATTGCCAGAGCCGTCCCAGTACGGCAAGATGCCATTCTTGAACAGCAAATAGGCAAAGCCAATCTTGAGCTTGCTGGCATTCTTTATATGGTTGAACAAACTGAAATGTAACAGTCATCAGATCAATATCATAAATATTGAATACAAATATAATGGGGAAGGTGCGAAAATTTGGCAACCATACCATCCTATCAAAGGTATTGTAAGTTCGTACTAGAACAACTAGAATAGTGCAGAGGAGATGGATATTACAGATGACAACTGAATCAAAATATAGTATGTATAGGCCATTTATAATTAAATCTTGTAAAAAAATATTAATTGTAACTGAAATCATTTCAATCAGTTTTCAATCAACAAACTTATAATTGCTCGTTTTAGTAAAAAGTTCCCAGCTATATACACTTAAAAAAATTTAGGAAAGGATCCACCAGTTATATTAGAAGGCAATTTTCATTCCACGCAAGTTCTTGGCTCAAGTCCAATCTACAGCAGCAAAAACTTAATGCAAGTGTTCATTCTTTTTTTTTAGTTATTAGCAGGAGCAACTACACAAAAGCCTAAAAAATTATATCACTACCGGTACTCATTGCAGTGATAGACATAGAGAGCATTTTCTTATGTCCGTTCGTCCATCACGGACGGACGGACGGACATGACAAGCACAATAGCGCCTTTTTTCCATAAATGAGAAAATGCGCTAAACATACTGTCTATATCCGGAGATGAATCTAAATATGATTACCAATTAGCACCAAACCCGGGACTCTTATTAAGTCAGGAAGGGAAACAAAAATACAAGTGCCACTAATATTTGATCAAATTGAACATTATACTTACGCCCAAAAGTCTTCAACTGTATTGAACGATGCAACCACAGCTAGGCACTCCTCGTAGTTCAACTTTCCACTCTTGTCATTGATGAAATAAAACAAGGTCCAGGTGCTGTTCAGAGGATGCTTCAGGACAGGCTCAGGATCCTGTGCAGAGAAAACATTCTTAAATAATTAATTTTTTTATGCCATTCCCTTTTCATAGGTTTTATTTGTTGTTGAAAGTTATTGGTGGTGCTTGGTAACCTGTTATATACATGAACTGTAACTGCTCAGCACTCAAGATGAGGACTTCAGTCCCAATCAGAATTAGATCCGCATCAGCTTCTGAATTTTTTAAGGGGTGACGTCATTAGTCATGCTAACGTTCACTCTGCCCTGTCATTGGTATCTTTCATAGCCCAAAGTTCAAAGCAGTATTGATTTTCACTGTATTTATTCTACCCATTTATTGCATCAACCAAGAACTCAAGTGAAGACTAGTATGTGACTACAACAGATTGAGAAAATGCTGTGCAACAAAATGAACATTGGAAAGGTTCTGGAACCATCTTGAATTTAGATAATGTATGTACATTGATAATTGATCTAATGTCAAACATGGGCATCTTCTGAATTCTGTGATTATTGTCCATGAATTTAAATGTGACCAGCACAGCTGATAGCTTCACCCCCGATCTCTGCCGCGTCTGCGTCGTGGGGGTACCCTGGCCTGCGCGTCGCCCGGATGCCCGGCACACTCGCGAGTCAGGCCAAACGGCAGAGGCCCCCCCCGCCCGGATCGCTACCGGACGGAGGCTCCTTCATTTTTCGACCAAGGGTTGGGAAACCTCGGCCTCTCCTTCCCCCACCCACATCTTTGGCCGCCTATCTTTCCTGAGGCACCCTATGCCCTTCTCTCCTCTCACCTTTTCTTCCTACTCGTCCTTCTCCTCCTGACCCAGGGTATCCATCCCAACCCTGGCCCGTACCCCTGCTCAGTCTGCTCCCGCCCAGTTAAGCGGCGTGGATATTCGTTCAAGTGCTCCAGGTGCAATGCCTGGACCCACAAACGGTGCTCCGGCCTTCGCTCCTATCACCTCTACTCCGCAGACTGGATCTGCCCTACGTGCAGACGGTCTGACCCCATCCCAGCCAGACCCCCCTCCCCCTTGCCCCCCCACCCTCCCTCCTTGCTGGCCCCCTCCCACCTTTGCGTCCTCCAGTTTAACTGCAACAGGATCCAATCCAGTGCAGTTGAACTGGCTGCTTACCTCGCCAAGAGCGACGTGGCGATTGCTTGTCTCCAAGAGACCAAGCTATCTGCTGCATTCCGCCTCCCCTCCTTCCCCGGATACGCGCTGGAGCGCAGGGACCGCCCCGAAGGTCACGGTGGCGGTCTCCTCATCCTGATAGCCCCCTCCCACCTTTGCGTTCTCCAGTTTAACTGCCGCGGGATCCAATCCAGTGCAGTCGAACTGGCTACTTACCACGCCAAGAACGACGTGGCGGTTGCTTGTCTCCAAGAGACCAAGCTATCTACTGCATCCCGCCCCCCCTCCTTCCCCGGATACGCGCTGGAGCGCAGGGACCGCCCCAGAGGTCACGGCAGCGGTCTCCTCATCTTGATCCGCCATGATGTCCCCTACACCGGACAAGACATCTCCCCCCTCCTACGCGGCGACACCCCCATGGAGGCTATGACAATCTCCACTCCTCTTAATAGCTCACCTCTCAGTATCATCAACGTATACATCCCACCGGCCTCCTCCTGACCCCCGGGATACCTCCCGGAGCTCGCAGACATTATCTCCATCCCGGGAGACTGCCTGGTAATGGGCGATTTTAACGCCCACCATCCCTCTTGGTTCTCCCACACGGAAGAACAGAGAGCCGCAGAGCGAGGAAACGCAGTCGACGACCTCGTCGCTGGTTCCCCCCTCGCCTACCTCAATGAGGACTCCCATACGCGCCTCCCCTCCCATGGCCCGCCCTCCTCTCCGGACCTCGCCATCATCAGCGGTCACCTACTCCTCAGCACCTCCTAGACTCCTCAAGTCGCCCTCAACTCGGACCACCTGCCCATCCTGATCCATCTCCCTTCCTCTGCTGATTCCTCGACCCCGGGCCGCCCGCTCCTATGTCAACTTTAAAAAAGCCGACTGGCCCGCCTACACGGCAGCCATCGAAGCGGCGCTCGAGACGGTCCCTCCCCCACCTCGTGTGACGGAGAGTCGACCTTAAGGGAAGTCCTGACGACCGCTGCCAGACATCATATACCTGCTGGATTCAGGAAGGACTTCTTCCCATCGGTCAACCCTAGCACCCGGTTGCTCATAGAGCAACGAGATGACATTTAGGCGAGCAACCCAACCGACCCCCGGTTCCCAGATCTTAACCTGGAAATCGGCATCTCCATACAAGCCCACGTCAGGAACACCTGGCAAACACATCTTGCCTCTTGCAGTAGGCGTACCAACCAATCCAAACATTGGAATCTTCTCCGCTCCCTAGCCGGAAAGCGGAACCGCCCTCCCCCAAGCAGCCAATCCAATTTGGTCGGTTTTCCCTCTCCTCCCAACGCAAGATCTCCTCCGCCCTCTGCGAGCTTTTCACTTCGGTCGCTCCTCACTCTCAGAGCCCCTCCACCCGCCGCCTCATACGTCGTATCCGAGCCCAACATCCCCTCAACAGGGACTTCTCCCCTTTCACCCCGACATGGTGAAGCTTGCCATCGCAGCCGCCAATAACTCTTTCGCACCCATATCTTCAACATCTCCGTCTCCACAGCCTCTATCCCATCCATTTGGAAAAATTCTATAATTATTCCAATTCTCAAACCGGGCAAACCCGGAAACCAGGGCTCCTTATACCGCCCTATCTCCCTCTGCCCTGCACCCAAGATCCTTGAGCGCCTGGTGCTCCCATACATCTTGGGATCTCTCACCACCGTCCCCTCGCAACATGGTTTCAAGCCGGGATATTCCACTGTCACCGCTCGCGCACCAGATCGCGACGGGTTTGAACTCCCGGCGCCCTCCAGCCCGCACAATCGCCGCTGCAGTCGACCTCTCGAAGGCCTTCCACAGCGTCGACCACCCTCTCCTTCTGAGCATGATCGCGGCCTAGGACCTACATCATAACCTGGTCCGTTGGCTATGCTGCTACCTTAGAGGCAGGCTGGCATCCTGCCTCTACCTCAAAACACAGTCGCCTTTTAGAGCTGTTCACTTCGGAGTGCCCCAGGGCTCGGTCATCTCGCCGGCCCTCTTTAGCCACTTCATCTCCGACATCCCAGTTCCGACCCCCAACATTGCCTCATATGCGGACGATCTTACCATCTTCGTGTCGTCCCCGAGGCTCGACGCTGCTGAGGCTGAGCTCGCTGTGCTCCTTCGGAACGTCTCGCATTGGTCGGCGGCCAAGAAACTGGGCGTTGCCCCTGGCAAATCCTCGGTCACGCTCTTCACCCCAGACACCCACCAATCTCGATTCCACCCTGCTGCCACTATCTGCAACGGCGTCATCCCCCCGGACAAAACCCCTAAAATCCTGGGCGTCACCTGGGATACGCACTTCACATTCTCCCCTAATGCAAGAGCCATCGCCACGAAAGCGACGGGTTCTCTCCGCATATTAAAAGCCCTTGCTGGCACCAACTGGGGCTTCTCCAAGGAGGACATAGTTGCCACCTACCGTGCCATCACGCGCCCAATCCTCAACTACGCGGCCCCCACTGGTACCCTGTTGCTTCACGTACAGCAGTTGCCAGCCTGCAGATAATACAAAACACTGAATTGAGACTAGCCACCGGCTGTCTCAAAATGGCCCCGATCTACCATCTTCACCAGGAGACCGTCGTCCTCCCATTAGCCGCGCGTCTGGATCTGGCTTGTGCCCAGTCCCTCGCCAGCGCCCTCCAGTCCTCCCATACCTCATTCCGCATCGTTTCTGCCCCCCCCCGGGGGACCACCCCATGAAAACCTCCATCCAGTCGTGGTTCGGTCACCTGGTCACACCACTCTTGGATAATGGCATTATGCCTGCAGGTGCCTACGGAAAGGCCAAGCGGTCCCTTCGCAGGGAGATCGCCTCCCGCGTTGCGGCGACTGACGCCATAAATGCCATACTCGCCGCCCCGCCACCGCCGATTGCATCAGTGGAGGCCTCACTCCCTCGCCCTTACCGCTCGGGGCTATCCCAGCTCCGCTCGGGATACTGCAGCTCCCTGGCGTCCTATTCCGCCAGAATCGGATGCTCCCCTAGCTCCGCTGGCCCGGAGTGCGGGGACCCTCTCCAGTCCGTTCAGCACCTCTTCGCCTGCCGCGCCTTCCCCACGTCTCTCAGCGTCTCCTCACTGTGGGACAGCCCCGTGGAGGCAGCGGCTTTCCTGGCCACCCTCCCTGCCTTCGCCCATCTCCCCCAGTTTGACCTTTAGGGCGTCCAAACTGTGATGGTGAACGGTCGAGACCTTGCTCTCAAGGTATGACCAGATCCCAAAATCCAGAGGATTCAGATCGGGTGACGATGGGGACCATTCATCTTTGGTAATGAAGTGGGGAACATTCTCGGACAGCCACTCCTGAATCGATTTGGCCCCATGGGATGGTGCAGAGTCCTGCTGGAATGACCAGGGACGTTTTTTGAAGTGCTTTCGTGCCCAGGGCAACAATGCACCAACAAGGATGGCACCTCGATGGTTATTCTGATTCAATTTCACCCCTTTGTCAACAAAAAAAGAGGGGACTCCTTGAGGACTCTGTTACGGCTGCCCAGACCAGCACTAAGGTCGGGCATTGCTTCCTAGTCACCACACGGGATCCTCCGTCCCCATTCATCGATCAAATTCGATCATTTTGGGAGTTGAAGCGGTGTTCAACATTGAATATCTTCTCATCACTGAGAACAAGGTTTGGAAGCGTGTCGTCATGAATGCGGGAATGAAGAAGCTTGGATCTTTGGAGGCGTTTGTCAACAACTTAAGCAGACAGTTGGTGTTTTTTGACACCATAAAGATGATAAATAATGATAAAGATTAATGAGAAGGTGTAAACAAATGACAAATATCGAGGACAATTATGAACAATTGATTTTGAAAAAAATGTAACGCTAAATATGATGACCCTGTACATTCTCTGAATATAAGATTTTAATATCTAGATCTAATATCTTAATATCTAGATACTAAGACATCAACATTTCTATGAACTATGGAATTTCATGGATTGCAACCCATGCCAATTTGCGATAGAAAAAACCCACCCATTGATAAATTATCTGTGTATCACTAGGCCTCTAACTTGTTCTGTAGTCATTCAGAACCTGCTATAATTCAATGAAATAAAAAGGTTACCACCAGATAACTTTACGCTATTAGGGGTACTCCCAACCCACGAGTTCTTAAGGCACGGTAAGGCCAATATAGTATCGGATTTTGTCACTCTGGTAACTAGCTTAACAACCTAACAGCAGGGAAAATCAAACACAAGACCAATCAATCAGATGAACTTTAAAACCTTGTGGCAAAGCTTTATTTACAGTTGAATGGTAAATTATTATTATTATTCCACGAAGAGATTGTCGTGGCGTCTCGTTCAGATCGAACTTCGAGGGCACGTTACAAGTGGCTAAAAAAGACGCGAGAGGATAAAAACAGATGACGTCTATGCTAAAACAGAGGACATGTGCCACGACTGATGACGTCTATGCTAGAACAAACAACACCTGAGCGCGATAGTACGGTAGGAAAGTTATTTATTGTTCTTTTCCATACTTCGGCCAGGCGTCCGAAGCTATGTCAAGAGAATTAAAAGTCTTGTTCAATAGATACTTCCCAAATGTCAATCTTCATATTGTGCTGGTAAACAATTTCACAATCGGTTCTTTCTTCAGATATAAAGATATGCTCCCTGTTCATATGCGATCGTCCCTGGTTTATCAATATTGTTGTGCACGATGTGCATCTGCGTACGTCGGGATGACGTCACGTAATCTTTATTCCAGGGTCTCTGAGCATAAGGGCAGGAGTTGTAGAACCGGACAGTTGCTATCGCGCCCACCTCATTCGGCTGTGCGCGCTCACGCCGAGCAGTGTGATGTCCCTATTTCTGACAGTGACTTTAGGGTGTTAGCTTCCACCTCCGGGACTTATGATTTGCGCATTTTAGAATCACTGTACATCTTTAAACTTAGGCCCAGTTTGAATTCAGCTGTTAGCTCCTATCCCCTTGAAATTGTTAATAGATAGTTTTTTTCGTCTATTACTTGTGAATTTAGGTTTTTAATTTCGTTCTGTGCTTTCAATGTATTAATTTGTGAGTTCTGATTTGTGATTCTAGATTCTACGAACTGACGATGGAGCTGGTCTCCGAAACGTTTTCTATAAAGATATGAATTTTTGTGGACTTTTCTTTGCTTTTAAATTCTTAACAAACAACACCTATGATAAATCAGTAATATCCATGACAGATTAGGTGACGGCTAGGCCTAAGATTCAAAGGCTCTACGGAAAAGTTGTTTTTAGGCGTCGACGAAACAACGGCAGCGAAGAAGCAGATGTCACCGATGCTGGCAGAACATTCCATATTCTGGCCGCAGCGACCGGGAACGCTCTGTCACCGACGGTGGGCAGACGTGAGGACGGGACGACGAGGTCAGCCTTCGACGAGGAACGCAGTCGCCTTCTAGAAGGCAGATTCGACACGCGCCGTAGGCCTTCAGCGAGATAAGGTGGTGCTAAACCATGGAGGCAGCGGAACGTCAGAACAGCGACTTTAAACCGGATGCGCAGCCAGTGAAGGTCACGCAAAATCGGTGTCACGTGGTCGAATTTCCGCCGGACACAAACGAGTCGCGCGGCAGCGCTCATTACGAATTGCAGTTTGTTAAGTGCCGTGATGGGAAGTCCGTAGAGTGTGGCATTGCCATAGTTCAGTCTGGTCAGCACAAGCGCCAGCATGAGGGCCTCGAGAGACAGCGACTGACGCTACGAATTCACCGCAGGATGCCAAAACAAGCAGCGATTACTTTGCCAATGTGGTTGTTCATAGATAGTTCTGAGTCCAGCTGAATGCCGAGGCTGCGCACAGAGGATGCAGGTGCGACGAACTCGTCGCCCACGCGCGCAAGGCTGGCTTGAAGCTGATGTTGGCGCCGAGCGGTCGCGAACCAAATTCAATTTTCGATGCATTGAGCTGGAGCCGGTTGGAACGCATCCAGTCTGAAACGGCGTCCATGCAGGCAGGCATCCGGTCTTGCAGCGCTGCAGCGTCCGTCTGCGCACAGTAGCCATAGATTTGGGTGTCGTCGGCAAACATGTGCGGATTCAAGCTGTGTGAATCAATTATGTGTAACACGTCAGCAGTATATAGCAGGAAAAGGATTGGGCCGAGGACCGACCCCTGTGTGCGATGGTGTAGAAGAGGAGAGCCCGCGACGAACACATTGGAGTCTATTGTTGAGGCAAGACTCGAACCACCGCAGCACCGTACCGCGCAGGCCATACGATACGTCTACCTGACGCAACAAGGTGGCGTGGTCGACCGTGTCAAATGCAGCGGAAAGATCGAGTAAAGCCAGTGCCCCAATGTTGCCGCGGTCGACCGCCTGCAGAATATCCGAAAGAACCTTCAGCATGGCAGTCTCCGTCGAGTGGTGACGACAGTATGTGCAGATTGGAGGCGAGGCATGAGACCTGACTTATGAAGATAGTTATTTAGCTGCCGGGCCACAACGCGCTCGAGAAGTTTCGATAAATCGACAGGTTGGAGATGGGTCGATACGAATTCGGGTCTGAGGCGTCGAGGTCCGGCTTTTTGAGAAGCAGCGTGATGTAAGCGGATTTGAAGTTCTCAGGGACAACGCCCTCAGCGAGGGAGCGGTTGAACAGTTCAACCATAAAAGGTGCTAGGCTGGCAACATTCTCCCTAAGTAGATGCGACGGCAACAGGTCGCTGGCGCACTGCTTGTTAGGCAGCGCGCGCACCGCAGTGGTGACCTCATCCGCTCTGACGCAGGTGAACTCGCGTAGCACACAGTTGTAGGGGCACGGCGTAAAGGTTGCCGCGGGAGCATCGGCCGACGACGCGAGCACAGCTGAAATTTTGTTTTCAAAGAACGCATGGAAACCTTCCACGGTCACGTCGCCCGAGGCATCCGCACGACCCCTCCCCATGAGCCTATCCAACGAACGCCACAGCGCCCGAGGATCGCCGCGCTGTGCGTCAACTCTTAGACGCCAGAATGACTCCCTCTTGGATCTAAGAAGGTTGACATGGGCGCGCCGCGCACCCCGCCAGTTGAACGTCGCTTCAGCCCCAGCAGCAGGATCGTTACGTCTGCTCGCGCGATGGACAGCCCGCTGGAGCAGCCGAACATCACGCTTCGAGGCGCGACATTCGTCTTCAAACCACGGGTCGGAGGCTCGCTGGGGGACACGAACAGTTCGTGCAGGAATGAGGTCATCGAGCAAAGATGTCAATTCGATGTCGTAGAGTTTTGCAAGATCATCCACCGACAGCTCCGACCATGAGTCCGGCCGACCAAGTCGGGACGACTGAAGTCTCCTGCTCAAAACATCGCAGTCGAGATCGCGCCACGGGCGACAGGAGACGGCTCTGTACGTCAACGCCGGGCGAACACATGGCAACGTCCACTGGAGTAGTCGGTGGTCAGATATTGCGATTTCGATGATGTCAACGGGCAGAAACTGAATGTCGGTACGCGTGATGACAACATCCAGCAACCCGCTAAGGTCATTGGTTGGTAAGGTAACGTGACATACCATGCCGAAGGCAGACAGCAGATCGTTCAGCTGACGCGCCCATTGGTCGTTGGCACGATCCAGTCGAACTTTAAAATCACCAGTGATAAAAACGTGATCGGTGAAGGTCACAAGTCTAGTTTATGTATACATGTCTAGTTTAGGTATACATGATGATGAGGGTTTAGTTAGGTTAATGGATGGTACATACACCAGGTTGAAAATGGATAAAACACAACAAATAAAGTAATTGCAAGAACCCCAATAATATATTGGCAACTGTTATGCCTGGCACCTTACAAATGGTGAGTAGGTATGTCACTACCGTACCATCTGGGGATAGGCACGGCAGGTGGGGGAGTAACCAGCTGCAACCACATCAGTAAAATATTATAAAAGGGAACAGTGAAAAGCCGTACAACAAAAGCTCACAAAATTTTTCATATGTTCTTGAGACTTCCAGGATCCTTGGCCAGTCCTTAAGGGAGGGACTCCTCTCTCCATGGTCTCCCATCAGTCCTCATGATTGAAGTAAAGGGTAAGGGAACTTGGTCACCAGTTCACAGCTACTGTAACCTGTGAATCACTACCATTGCACTGAGACTAAACACTTACTTAGACTGAACACTTTTCAAGATAACAATAGCAATTGGTAGCACTTGGTAAAGAGGTAACTTTTCAGCACCATTGAGAGCTATCACAAAGATCACTTACAATTCCAGCCTCAGGTCAATCGTGTTGGGTTAACAGGAAACCACAGAGAACCACATTACAAGAAGTATATAAGAAGAAGAACCACAAGGTCCTCAAGCATCACAGTTAAATCAGTGGGTGGCACAAGACATCAAAGCAGTTGGGAATGCATACCAAGATCACTTAGTGATGCCACAATCAAGGGAACAGTTAATGCACAGTCTATATATACATGTAATTACAGATTATCTGCAACAATAAGAGACACAAGGCATTAGGGAGAAATGCACGAGGGAATGAATGGCAACACAAAAACACCAAGCAAAGGCCATTCCCTCACCATGTCATTATTCATTTAAAGAGTTTTACAATTTTGTTTCAATTCTTGGGTAGGTAATTATCATAATTATATTTTTATTAATATTATGGCAATTTTTGTCATCATTGCTAAATTTGTAAACTTTACAAATTTTTTTTATTCATTTTATTTTATGTTAATGGGAGCATCTGGGTCAAAAGATCAATAAATTTAGCATTTCTCTTTTCTATGCTCATTTTGTAGCTGCTGATAAGGCAGATATAATGCAGCAAACCACATATATGCGCGGCTTTTGTATTAATTCAAGATGTTAAGTCAGCACATAATTTTTTAATTGCCTAATGTAGCTCTTTAGTTGCAAACAAGTAGCAACACAAAGAATGACAACTTTTGAGTATTGACAAGAGAAGATGCCTCAAAGTTTGGGGCATATTTAAAGGTCCATTTCTTCAAAAGATATAGGGATAAAAAGCTAAACAATTTTTTAACAGACATGCATCATACTGCATTCCCTTGCTACTCATCACCAAATAACTACATAATATATACTTATCAGAACCTGGCTGGGATTCTAGAGGGGTATTAAATAAACCAGAACATGGAGCATATTGGACACAACCAATCACAGTCTGGAAAGGATGACATGACAGTCTCACAACCAATCACAGTCTGGAGAGGATGACATCACAGTCCCACAACCAATCACAGTCTTGAGAAGATGACATCACAGTCCCAACAATCAATCACAGCCTGAAGAGGATGACATCACAGTCCCAACAACCAATCAGTCTGGAGTGAATGACATCACAACCAATCCCTGTCTAGGGAGATGGACATGCATCTGCTTAAAAATGACAAGCTATCTTTTTGCAGTATTGTAGAACTCCAGCCTGGTCAGAACTATAATTTGTAGGGAAATGATGATAAGCAAATGCTTTTCATGATAAGCAGATTTTTGCTAAGCAAATGATGTCAACAAAGCTGTTATGATTACATTAGAAGGAAGTAGCTCAATTTTGCTTACAGAATGAAAGACTGGTAACTTTGCATTTCCATTAAAGACTGGCAACTTAAGTGCTGTAACAAGGTTATCAGCATTGACAATACTTACATACACTACTAATCAAAGGACTCAAAAAATAAGTGTCTAAAATGTCCCTGCTTTGCCACTATGCATTGTTACTAATGGTCAGCAGCTCTTTCCCTTTTTATATTCTTTTGAAAAATCTGTGAGGACAATCTACTTCAGAAAGTTGCAAATAGATATACTGAGCTTCTGGAATTCATTTCTAATAAAGTTGGTGAGGGTGGCCATTGCTTCTTCTATCAGAGGTTTTACTGAGACTGCATTGGTAGTACAATTACTTGATATAGGGCAACAGTTGACTTGGTCACTTGGCTGTAAGTATTCTCAGAAGATGGTGCAATATTTAAGCAGGGTGAACTGCCTTGGTAAGAGCCGTGTGATCTATGTATTTCTCCTTCAGTAGTGTTTATCTGATGAGTGCTATTGTTTGGCACTATTTGCTGTTTGTGCGGTTTTACAGATGACTAGCTACTTTGGTAGTTCCCCTCCTGTCCTTTCTGTTTTTCTCCTTCCCTGATCCTCCTGCTCAATCTGGACGCCCCATAAGACCATTATTATGAGCGACTTCAATGCTCACAATGGCCAGTGCAGTTCTGCACCACTCAGGATGATCACGCATCTGCCTGAGGTGCAGCCTTAATCAACTCAATAGACTCCAGTCAGTTTGTCCTCCTCAATCAAGACACTCCCACAAGGAGCCCTATCATAAACCAACTTCCAACCTCATCTGGCCCAAGACGCTGTCTGGACCCCACTGGCTCACCTCAACTCTGACCACCTTCCCATCTCTATCTCCCTGGACTCTCTGAACAACCGTCCTACCTACACCTACATCAACTTCCATCTAGAGCAGATTGTGACGGTTATGCCACTGACACAGAGGCCACTTTTAGTGTTGCTGCTCCCCCTACTTCTTGCTCCCAGGGAGAGATCCTCTTTAGGAGGATTCTCACCTTGGTAGCCCATCAACATATCCCTTGCAGATGTAGAAGGGATTTCATTCCCAACCTTCCACCCTCAGCCATCCCTCTTATCCATGAGCCTGATAGGGACCGTGCCTTGAACCCCATACATCCAAGGATTCCAAGCCTTCCAGTCCTCATTGACAATTAAACCCTCAACAAAAGATTTCCACCTTGGGTGGAAAGCATTTTATAAGTGAACTTCCATTCATAGAATTCCACACTGGTGGAAGACTTGGTGCTGGTTACTGGTAGCCTGGTACCTAGAGTCTTTCGTTGGTGTTGCTGGAACTATGTCCTCTTCATCTTCTGGGTCTGGCATGTCAGAATTCTGACATGGTGATGGTAATTTGGCCTAGTGGCAATGCAAAGAGACTTTGTCACTTTTGTAGATACATCCTTGAGTTCATTTTTGGGTCCTATAGGCTATAACTTAATAATAAGTAGACCAGTGATGAGTGAAGTACGGTATTATGGATACCACTAACCACATAGACATACCAGTATTATCATACATGGAAAAATAGTTAAAATCTTGAGTAGATGAGGAAATTAAAATTGCACTGATTATAGAAAAATGTCTGTCAGTATGTTAAAATTGGGATATTTTCAATATACTGAATATACAGAAGAGCTTTTACTAAGTACTTTACAGTTTACACACTACACACCTGACACTACACACAGTACACAGAAATAGGTATATTCAAATTGACAGGGCCACAGGGGTTTCTGAATTCTGACAGAAAAATAATCATTCAATTATGATATATGATAATAAGATTGCATAATAAATTAGTAAAGTTAATGGAAAATGCAGTACAACTTACACGTTCAACAAACAAATGTCTGTTGATCAGTGCAAATGATAACAAACCTAAACTAGAATATACCTAACAACTTTGATTTGAGCTGGCTTGCATTGCACGATTGCAGGTGGCAGAGGGCCTGAAGCCAACTCTTACCTTGTGTAGATGATATCATCATCATGATAGGCTGATAGCTGCTAGTACTAGCTACTAATCTACTACCTCTTCCCGTAAGTTAGGCTAAGCGATTAGTAGTTCTTTACTCGTTTACTACATGAACACCGCTGACAGCCCGACTCTCTGAATGATCGAGTGCTTACCACATTACTTTTAGTTTTACGGTATTCTTCTTCTTTTCGGGATGCCCACGCACGCAGGGTAGACTTAAAGCCACAGGACAAACTCAAGGATGACTGTTGGGTTCTACGGTATTAGGTACCTTTTCAAAATAATACCTACACCTTCGCTCCGCGTCCAGACCTTCTACTTCTAAAAAAATACTACTACTCTACTCTAAAAGACCTTCTACTTTCCACCTTCGTAATAGAATAGAATAGAAGTGTCGGCGTTGAAGACATAGGCCCATGGCCTGTTGCCGATTCTTGAACTTTTCGTGACTTGATTCACAAGGGATCCGGCCTTTGGAACCCGATCTTTCCATAACTGACGATTGATTGAGATAGCTGCTGGACTTATTGCCTGCTCCGTAATTTGCTAGGCATTAACTTGCCTTTCAAGCCCGGAACTATCCTTGTTGCGCGTCTTTGAACACTCTCTACTAAATTTTTGTCCTTTTCAAATTTCGGTGACCACACGACGTTTCCAAACTCCAGGTTCGGGCGCACGACAGGACTGGTTGTGATGCCGATTACTGAATCAGTTGCTAAATTAAAAAATATGAAATAACTTTATTCCAACGAGCATCGACTGTCACGTTCATTAAAGAAACCTAATAACGAAAACTAACAGAGATGAAAGTAACAGCACCTTTTTCTCCATATTACTAATAGCAGCATCATTTGTTGTGGAAACGGCTTCGTCCAGTTCAGTAGTTAGTACAACAGTTTCACTCATTTTTAAATTATGTAAATTAAGCAAAATGTTTTCTGCAGCAGACGTTTGAACATTCTTTTAACTTGCGTACGCAGTGACTGACGTTAATCATGTTTTATCTTATCTTTAAGCACCAGCCTTCTGTTCAAAACAGGGTGTGATATTTATTACAGCTTGTCAATGAAGCCAGCTTTGGACAGGTACGTTACCAGTTTTTCCCTCTGACAACTTGTCTCTTAGCTAAGAGTTCTTATTAAGTTACAGTAAAAGAATGCTGATGTTACAGTCATATCGGATACCACCCAACTTCCGAGACGAAAACGAGAAAAGTGTTCTCCCTTACAATGAAAAGTAGTTGAAGAGTAGTTTTTCAATATTAAAAAATGGTTTCAGTTATTATATGAGCAAATAATGAGCTTACGGAAGATAAATGATGTCGGCGCTGAAGAATATGTCTGATGTAACCAAAATATGATATGCTGTAGCCACTGGGCGAGATGGCCCTGTGGTTACAGTTCAGAGCAGTACCAAGATTGGAGCAGAGAGGCACGGGTTCGATCCCAGCTCTGTGCGCCAGTTTCTGGTCAGAATCGGCGAGGAGGCCGGGCGGTTAAGCACAGCAGAATTGTAGCAGTGAGTTGCGAGTTTAAGACCGCAAAATGCTGTGAATGTTCTGCGATGTTAAGAATCGGCGACAGGCCTACGGCCTAATAAACGCAGAAACCGCTATTATTAATATTATTATATGACTTGTCGCCGAATCTTATACTTTTCGTAACTTGTTCACAGGAGATCTGAATAGATTTCCTTTAACCGGATGTTCGAAAGTGACGCTAGTTTGAAATAGCTACTAGACTTCCACCGGGTTCGATATGGTGCTAGGCGTTTCAAGTCTGAACATGGATTTTTTCCATAGCTTTATCTAGTCTGTTCTTGAACGCGTTCATACTCGGAGCGCTAACGATGTAATAGGGGAGGCTGTTCCACACATGGTTGAATTATGAATTCAACCATGGTTCCACATGTCGGTGACTCGAGGCATCAAGTGTTGTCGCGTGGATGAGCTGCACCGCGGTTTTTTAGGTTTATAGCCGTGCCCCCCGGTGTTGGTTCGTGTTTCAAATTCTGGTAAATGACATAGCTATATAATGACAGGTGACAAGGACGGACAAGTGACAAGGAGGGACAGGTGACATGGAGGAACAGGTGACAAGGAGGGACCGGTGACAAGAAGGGACAGAGAAGGGAAATGTAAGGAATCGTACCTACATAATAACTTAATGTAAGGAATCCTACCTACATAATAACCTAATGTAATGAATCCTACCTACATAATAACTTAATGTAAGGAATCCTACCTACACAATAACTTAATGTAATGAATCCTACCTACATAATAACCTAATGTAAGGAATCCTACCTACATAATAACTTAATGTAAGGAATCCTACCTACATAATAACTTAATGTAAGGAACCCTACCTACATAATAACTTAACCCCACAACTGAGACCTGCAGTCAGACACCGCGAGCTCAGCGGTGGGGCGCTCAGGAACAATCCCCCTAGGAGCGCGAAATCCCACAGGACTTCTGACGAGCACAGACACGCGTCAGTCTTCCCTAATGGGGAAGTTAACTAAAAAATGAGGGGAGGCGACTTTAAATGTGGTGCTTAGATTCAACTTAGAAATAATATTGCCTGGTAAACAAAACACTTATGGGCAAAAATGCTTTCTAATGAATATAGTTAATCATCACATTCAATGGAAAATAAATAACAAGGGGTCTTGCAGTGAATTAATTATACATAATAAAAAATAACTGACTATGGATCGAGCAGTCAAGCCTCAGAAGGATCGAAGCAGCTTACTAACACAGAGGGTACAGCCAGTTATTTGTGCCCTCAACACAGTGAACAAAAACATACAGGAACACCTGAAGGAAAATACAATCCAAACTAATTTAATACATTCTTTCTAAACAAATAATTTGGAGTGTTATCAATAGCAGATAAATGACCAATAACCTGACATTAACTGGTTATCCGCTGAGCGCTGCATTAAGTAACTTAACTTAATGCACTTAACTTAGGCTAGTGAAACCCCACAGCTTATTTCCTGTCGTTTTTCTTAACAAATATAAACAAACGAGGTAAGATTTATCACTAACAATCATGGTAAGCTTAACGAACTCTCTTCTCGTAGGAAACTCGGCGCCTTTAAATCCCTACAAATTGAATTCTATTTCGCTGTGGATGAATCAAAGTATTTAATTTTTTTACAATGAACAATCAAAAGAAATGTCTTCCAGCAAAATTAATACATGGGAAGCTAATTTATTTTCAATGGGTGACATGCCTCTCAACATAGCATTTCTCAGTGTTTGGATGCCACAAGATTTTTATTATTACTAGAGGAATGTTCAAACATTTTCAATGTGCTTCACAAAATTGCAGTACTGCTTATTTGCTATTTTAAGAGAATTTTGTTCCGATTTATATTGTTGAAAATTACTATCATTAAGTTTAAAATACTTCATCCTCAGTTTTGCATGCTCTATGACTTGCTCAAAACGCATACTTTTTATACTCGTATCGTAATATCTTAGAGCATCCCTGATATTTATGTTAACATCTTGTAATTGATCCATTAGATGTAACATTTCTTTATTATATACCTGATCATAGTTTACTAGAGGTATGATGTCCAATTTCCAAGATTGATACTTGTTACTATAGCGTAAATTTGCTAAGTATGTAGTATCAACCAATGATGAACTATTACAGCCAACAGCCAAATAATGTTGAGGCTCTTCCTTTTGTTCTGCTAGGTATAACCTTATTCGCTCAATTAGCTCATCTGTGGCAGAAATAGGAGTTGAATCTTGCTCTTTTTTCTTTGAATTACTTAAAAATACTTCTATACTTTTGTTGGTAGATACAGAAAGTATTTTCTCAATACTATTTTTAGAATAGTTGATCGTTTGGTCATCATTTGGCGTAACTCCATCTTCTAGTTCAACATCATCGAATTTTCTTTTCTTAGTCGCTTTCTCCTCCGCTGAAGCACCACAATTGTGCACCTCCAGAGAAGTAGAGGCCGAGCAGGCAGTCTGGGGGGCTGCTAGACATGGCGTGAAGACGTCTGCTGTTGCTGGGAGTTCTTGGTTGCCTGGAGGAGCCTGGGGGACGGAGGGAGATGCCCCAGCCTCGACAGGCTCTGTGCTGAGAGGATCCAAGCCCAGGGCTGTAATTTGGAAGGCTCTGGCATCGGCAACTGTAGCACTGTTCTGCTCAGATGAAGAAAATGTTACGCATTTAAAATGTTATGTGTTTAAATGGTATGTGTTAAAGATGTTATGTGTTTTAATGGTACGTGTTTAAAATGTTGTGTTTTAATGGTACGTGTTTAAAAATGTCATGTGTTTAAAATGTTACTTTTTTTATGTGTTTACAAAAAAAGGGAGAATTTGTCGGGAAAACTTGGTCAAATAACAGAAGAATATTTGAAAAGATACTAAATAATGAAAATGACAAGAATATGCTTGCAAAAAAGAAAAACATTCTACATTTTTCACACACAATTGCTGAAAATAACTGAAAAGCATTCCAGAGCCATTAAGAATTAATTCTTTCTCTAATAATTAAATAATTTCCAAAAAAATTCTTTACTAAGAGCCTAGTAATTTGAAATATGTTAGAAAGAAACCCTGAATTATATTATCATCATGTATCTATTTAAATACACAAGCAAACACAACGCCAATGGATAAAGAAACTAAAAATTTAAAAGCAAAGAATAGTCCACAAAATTTTTAGTCAACTTGCGATTTAAGCAAATAAGTGACATTAATACTTGGATAAAGAAATATATATATTTTCGCAGGAAAATAAAATCATCTGAAATTGTTTAATAAAAAATTTGAATGAATAATATAACTACACTGTAAATTTAATAAATTTAAAAATCCAATCATCTTCATATTTAAGGAAAGGTTCTAAAATTTTGAGAAGAAAATTTTTTTAAAGAGTAATTAATACACAATCACTGCCAAGGAAGCATGTTTCTTTACCTTCCTTCATGAAAATTTTCAAAGCTTTGCTGAACTAAATACATTTAGTGCTATATGCACTTGCCACAGAGCAAAAATACTGTAAAACTATCATCAACCAACGTCATGTGGTTATTACTGGGATTTAGAAAATTAATGAAAATTAATGGGTATCATAGAATAATAATAAAGGCTATATATAAAATAAATTACTAACCACTTCTTCCAAGAAGAAAGGTTCCTCTTTCTCCACTTCAATGAAGACAGCTGAGAGTTCCGAGTCACAGTTTGATTGCTGCTCATCACGAGGCTCAATCTTCACAGCTTCTGCAAGTGCCACAACTTGAGTACTGATTCAATTAGAGGAGAAAAAAACACCAACACTGCTGTTATGCAAGATATTGTTCAACAAACTAATGGCCAAAATACTCTGTAGACGCTTCATGAACATTTTTATCAAAATTGAGAATGCTGAACAGCAATTCGAATTCTCCTGTCAACTTACAAGGATTTTGTTTAACAAATTAATTTGACTTAACAAGAAAAGTTTTATTTTCTTTTATTAGTACTGAAACCAAAACATTGAAGACAAATCTTTAATTATTTGTACAACAGGTGATGCAAAAACAATGATGCTGCTCATCAACCTTATGTTAAAAATTAGGTGGAAAACATTTTTATACCCAAGACCCTCGTATATACTTGCGTAGATATTCTAATTTATGACACTAAACCAGATTCTTGAAGGATAAATAGGTAATTAAACTTGAAATAAGATTTTCATGGCAACCAGACTTAACTGCACTTTGTCTGATGCTGTAATACTTGTAAAATAAGCAGGAACCAATTACCTGAAATATAACTTGGCATGGAATGCTGCTTCTGCCTGCCGTCCCCAGCTGTATGATGCTTGTGACCAGCGCCTGCCTTGACTGCAGGAGCATTCTTCTGCAATGTGGGTACCTCCTCTATCTCTGATGGAGTTTTTGAGTGCTCTCGCATGTTTCTGGAAGGTATAATGCAAGTTTGTCTGTATTAAATTGAATCAACATTCATTAATTAAACATTAATTTAACTAAATTGAATCAACATTCATTAAACTAAATACCTAAAATATTTAATTTTATCTTACTGGGTAAAGTTAATAATGCTCTAATTCACCAAGTTCAAATGTAAACAATTTATAATGAAATTCTATGCATATTACTGAACACTGAGCTGTGCTGCAGGGGCAACTATACCAAATTTTTGATGACACTAACTTCTGGCGATCCTCACGTCTGGCACTGACAAAAGCATTGGCGATCTTCTCCACGGCTGCTGCTATAACTGTGAGTGAAGCTGCCATGCTTCCCGTGTTATTTAGTATTTCCCTCTGCACACTCAACATATCATGAGCCATGGTATGATCATTGCTGTCAATGCTGCGCCGCTTCCTTCCACGAGCTGAAAATGACTCCGTGGTAATAACAGGCTTGGTAGGGGTGGAAGTCACTGGTTCCTTAGGGTATAATGTCCGTAGCTTTTTCTGGTTCCAAGCTTGAGGCACTGTAGGTGTGACCTCCGTCTCAAGTGAAAATGAATCACAAGACTTGACCTTAGGATTAGCTGCGACATTGTTGCTTGAGGGACCTGCATCAGGGCTGTGAATAACTTCGGCCAGTGCCACAGCCCCAGGTAACACTTGGAAATTTCCTTCCAAATTCATAATTTCAAGGCATAGTTCATTGTCATCTCTGGGGTGTTCTTCTCCAACTGGAAAAGCAAATCAAGCCATATTAAGATCTGCTGAAAATTAAAATCTATTCTTATGCAAAAACATTTCTCCATCTTAACATTCATGTATAGAATCTGCTGTCAAATTCAAACGGATAATCAATGAGCTCATAGTTCTTAGATAAATAGTTACAGGTATGTTCCATGTTATCATTAAATATGATAAACAAATGAATAACTTTGAAATTATACAATTGTTTAGCAATTAATTTCATATGAACTTAAAATAAAACACTATTTCATTAATTAATTATTTATAGATAAATTAATATAATCAGATAGAAAGTTATATACATTGATCATCTATTAATAATCTGCTTTATTTACCACAAGAATTTATTAATTAATTATGAGTAAATAAATTTGTTATGATTAATAAATATTTGAAATGAATCTGCATTTAGGTCAGTGACTGGCAGAATGAACAAATGATTGGCAAAAGTAATAAATTATTGGTTTCCTATGGGCCATGCACTAATATCTTCATAATAATTGAATTAGGAAGATGCAATAGTACTGCACTCACCTGAAACATCAGCTTCATTTTCAGGAAGTTCTGATCCAAACATGGCAGTTCGTGACAGAAGAGGTAGCATGGCCTTTTCAACATGGGAATATTTAACCTTCACAGGGGGCCCTCCACCTACAATTATAAGATTAGAAGAAACATGTCAGAAGCCAAAATAAGAAACCATTAAATTCATTTCTCTCAACTAACATGTAATTCCAAGTGTTTAAGTAGGGAACGTGTATCAATGACATGTCTATTAGAGTAAAAAGTTTCTCTATTTTTATGTGGATTTCTTGTTGAACTTAACTACTAAGTAGAGACCAATCTGAAATATCAGGGAGATTTTTATAGAATTCATTGGTGGAAAAATATTATTAGGTGGTTTTTGTAAGTCATTGGAGAATATGCAGTGTAGTATTTTATTTTAATGAGGGAAACTAGGGAAGAAGCTATAAGCACAGGTGAAATTATATATGGCTTAGGCAGTTTTGGCTCATTCTAGGATAACATCAATTTTGGGTAGGTATCAAGTACAATGTTAATGTTAGTTGCCAGATCAAGTACCATAGTAATGTTTTTGCATTGAAATGCCAAAGAGATGCAGAATGTAGAATCTTTTCAACTAATTTAAGTGATTGAATTGGGCCGTGCTTTCAATCAAATCATCTTTTATCAGAAAAGGGGACTTTTCAATTAACTTGATGAATTAAGAAATGAAATTGAAGCCCTGCAATTACACTCTAGTATTTTGACAATCCAAAAAATGATAAAATTCATTAAAATTATCCATAGATATTTGAAAGTAAAAAATTGGCAATGGCAATGAGCATTAAATCATCCAAATAATTCACTTACCAGTCAATCCACTGTATTGGTTTTCAGTTGTCGCCTTCTTCTTTACTTGTGTTCTCAAATCATAAAATTTTTTGCGCACTTCCGCCACATCTCTCTTCACCGTTGAGACACAATTTACACTATCAATGACAGCTTGCCACTGCAACAGCTTTGCTTTTGCAGTTATAGTTTTGTCAAACTTTCCTAGGAGTATATTTTTTCTTTTGGAAACTGCAGTTATTAGAGCCATTACTTCTTCATCACTGAAATTTGGACGTCTTCTCTTCAGATGCTCCATTGCTACTGCTGGGTGTTCCATCAAACAAGTCAAACTATTCCTTAAATTCTACACAGGTTACAGCTTTTAATTCAAATTTTATTCCTTTTTTATAGCAAATTGACACAGATTTTAGGGGTTGGCTTTCACGTTTAAATTAATGACCGTTTTAGCTCCAGCTATGTTATGTTATCACTGTTTAACCTGCAGGATAACTGCTCAAGATTATTCAGATAATGAACAATAAGTGTAGAATTTAAGTGACATAAGATTCATTGAATATATATAATGAACTGTGAATTGAAAAAAATAAGTGTTAATGTTAAGAAACTTAATAAAAACATTGAAAAACTTCATTAAATTTTAAGGAATACTTTTAAAAATGACACTTATAACAAGCATCAATCACACATAGGTTGCCACTCAGCACAGCAGCTACTGCTCATAACTATCTACTCATTAATATCACCCATATAATATAGTTAATTATAATGAATAATGGTCAGAATCACAAACAGTATTATTTAATTGATTATTATAGGTGGCTAATAAACTGTCAAAGGGGCAGGCAGGGTAAATTGGGACAGTTGTAGAATTTGTAGAAATGTTGTAGCAGCTAAACTAATCAAAATATTGCAAAACTAAAAATAGTGGCACAAATTTCAACATTTTTACTATCTATTATGTAAAAAACTAGTCAAGAAATCAAACATTTACCTACTATCTCTAAAAAATTGCTGAAAAAAAGTGTGAAAAGTGCAATTTTGGAGAAGTACCTCTGCTAAGGTCTGGAGCAAAAAAAATATTTGCCATATTGAAAAATTTTACTTACATAAAAGTTGCACCCAGGTGTCAGCTTGAAAATGTAATTGATGGAATTTGCCTATCTCATTCCAAAAAAAATGGCAGCCATTTCCGCAGGACGGGGTAAAAAGGGATACCCCCTGGGGTAATTAGGGACACCCTTAAAAATGCATTTACAGTACAGCAATCCCTTGATTAGCACGGTTTTGAATACCGCGGTTTTGATTAACGCGGAAAAAAAAATTGCGACCTACCCTTAATCTACGCGGTGCCAGTTTTGATTAGCGCGACTTTTTTTTCACAATGCATCATTTTCCCGCCTCTAGCCAGAGGTGTTACGTAAATTCGTCACACAGAAAATAAAAGCTTCTACCGAGAGTAATTAAATGTTTGGAGTCTAGCCGCAAGTGTGACGGTAGCGTCACATGTTATGAACTCGTTCGAACGTCGTTCGATGGAGTAGGCGCGTCGCTACTGCCAGTACAACACAACGACTGCGCGTGATTTGAAAAGTAATTCAGATTGTTTTTTCACTTTCGAAACATAATTCAGTGCGTAAAGGGATAGTTACTCGTTAGCCTTCAACTGGTCAAGATCGCTGCCATATCTACTGCTCACTTTTATCAAACTACATAACTTTCCTTTCCTTTGCTATTTTTGAGGATTCATTATAATTATTCCCATATATTCTTAAGTTTGATTAGCGCGGTTTTGCTTAACACGGTAAAACTCGGGGATTTGTTAACCGCGTTAATCAAGGGATTGCTGTAGAACCTCAGTTAGCAAAGGTTCCAGTTAACAAAAAAATTTATTAACAACAAAGAATTTTGATTAATTTACCTTGCTCAGCAAAAAATTCACTTATCAAATAATTAGTGCATCATCGGTCGTCACAAAATTGTACATAGAATGCTACATATAGAATTGTGCACCCGGCATCATAGAATGAAAAGTAATTGACCTAAACTATGATTTATTTCTCCAAAATATATGATGGTTGTCACTAAAACATTATTTTCTGTTTCAGGTATGTTTTTCATGATCTTTTTTATTATAGTGAAATCACTTGACTTGATTAAAATTGTGCAAAATTACAAACCATCCTGTAAGCTTACAAATACAGAAGAAATGCTACATGGCTGCTGATATGAAGCTTGCAGTGGACAAGGTCGTTGTCAATGCTCAATGGCATGTCCATGGATACAGTAATATCACATTAATAATATGGGAATTAATGAATATGGTAATATAATATCAATAAAGGAAAAACAAGTAAAAATCACAGAAAATGTCATTTATTTTACATCTACATCATCTACAATGAAAGAGGAGGACTTCAGAGTACTGTTAGTAATGGATGAGTACACTCTGCATGCTTCAAACATTTTAAATTAATTTTTATTGCAAGTGTCCCGGATTACCCCATTCCCAGGGGTAAATCGGGACGGTTTTAATTTGCCTCTGGCACCTCACAAATAGCATATGAAATTTTTTGAAAATGCCATTGGATAGCCCTCGCAAAGATAATGAGTTTAGGCTCATAAAATGAGCCTAAACTTGTTTCTGAAATGTTTCATGGTAAGAAATTACTAACAAAAAATGCTCAAAACCATCCCTTTTTTCCCCTTTTGAGGGTACACTTTGCAAAATTTTCAAAATTAAGTTTTATTTAAAGTGTCCTGGATTACCCCATTCCCCAGGAGTAATTTGGTATGCTTTCATTTGGCATCTGGCACCTCACAAATAGCATATGAAAATTTTTGAAGATGCTATACAATAGCCCTCATAAAGAGCTTCAAAATGAGCCTAAACTTAATTAAGAAATGTTTCCTAGTAAGAAGTTAGCAACAAAAAATGCTCAAAACAGTCCCTTATTACCCCGTTTTATGGTACTTTTTCAATCATGGTACAAAGTTTTGGCTCAGTTTTGTTAAATAATTAGACTGTTTTGCATGCCAGCAACATAACTCAAATGCTGCGGGCTCTACCAAAGTCAGTGGAATTAACAGTAAAAAAAATATAACTCAGTACTCACTGCAGTGAGTGACAGAGAGCGCATTTTCTCGTCGACGAAAACTTGGGGTCACGGACAGACAGACAGACGGACATGGCGAGCACAATAGTGCATTTTTTCCATAAATGAGAAAATGCGCTAAAAAGAATTGCCTGTTTGTTATAAGAATTGTTAATGTGCAAATCATCTGGAAAATTGTACCAAAGTTCACATTTATTTATCGTAAACAAAAAAATTTCTTCCAATTAATGTACTCTCAGAATGAATAAACAATTAGACAGAAAAGACTCTTTCAACAGTTGTTGCTTTATAGCGCATTTTCTCATTTATGGAAAAAATGCACTATTGTGCTTGCCATGTCCGTCTGTCCGTCCGTCTGTCTGTGACCTCAAATTTTTGTCAACGAGAAAATGCGCTCTCTGTCACTCACTGCAGTGAGTACTGAGTTATGTTTTTTTTTTTATTTGACAAGCAATTCCCAAATTTGAATAATTCATGAGATTAATAAACTTCTTAGTCATGAGAAATTATCTGTTGCTGTGGTCACAACTCACAAGTCACAACACACAGACGTAGTTCGATACTGATACAGGCTGGACAGCATGTCTCTCATGGGCTCCTGCTGAAGATTACACTTTGAGAGTTCATTAAGTAAAAATTATTAATAAAAATAATAAATTAACAATAAATTAGGTAATAAGCGCTCCAAGTTGCAGCACTCAGTTTTCAAGTGATGTTTATCTCAAAATTAAAATTTATTTAGCAAGTATTTCTTGCATGAGAGATACTTAGAAGTTTTTCAATGTTAACAACATTAAAATTCATACAGAAATGTATTTTTTAGGCTAAAATTTAGGCTCCAAAGGACCAAGTTGAAACTGCACTTTGTCCAGGTTGTGGTGCCACTCTGGATGCATTCTTAATTACCATCTACTTATGGGATTTTGTAGCACACCAGTGCCAAATTGAAGTGCGCTGACCGCACTGCGCAGCAGCATCATGGCTCAGCTGACAGCTTGCAGCTTGACAGCTGAGCAGGTGCGAGTGACAATGTCTGATGGTGGTGGGGCTGCAGTGCCCACCATCAGATATTGCTAAGTGCCTAGCCAATTCACCTAGCCAAATTATACCATAAAGCCAAAAAATAGACTGTTCCATGTAGAAAAATGTAAGAAAAACTTGTTTTACTTGCTAAAATACGTTACTTGTAAGTTGCGGTACAGCCGTTATTAATATGTTTTGAAGGCATGACTGCCATCCCTACCTACCAGTCTTATCAACTTGACTAACCAAGAAAAGACACGGTCACTTGCTTCACTTTAAAATTTGAACCCATTGCTTCATATGTCACTTTAAGCTAGGTTCAAAATCTAAATTGAAAAATTAGCAATGCACTTACAGTTCATATACAACACTCAAGTGTGACTGCATGGAGAGATTGGGATGCTAGCAATCATGTTTGTTTACATTAGAGTAGATGATCAAACTTGTTTTGAATGTCTATATTTTCCATCAACATTCTTTTGCCACATATGTGTAACAATGCATAGTGCATACCAGTACTATTGTATGGTTTTGGTTTCATTTATTATGTTATGATTATTTTTGGCATGATGCAGATATTATATATCAAACTTTTATGCAATGAGCTTGGCAGTGTAAATATCTAGGCTACTAGGTCTAGTCTCAAAGGGGCTGACAATATTTTATTGTTAATATCATGGAAGTTGTATGATAGTAACTGAGAATCATGTGCATATCACTTTTAAATTACCGCATCAATACCTACAACAAATATATACATACAGAACAAATTTACGATTAATGTTTTCATAATCTTTGTAAAACGTTTTGACTTCATATTTCTCCAAAATTAAAACTGATTTTAACCAAATAACAAGAAAGCTATTTATTATCAATATGGTCCTGCTGCTTGCAGGCATTTTCAGATTTTTTTTTGTCTGCTATGTTCTTACATACCAATGCTAAGCACTTTGCACATAATGCTTTGTATGCACAACCTGTTTGTTATGTCTTGAACACACAGCTCGTGAAGGTTTTTGTCCTGAATATATTGAGGTCATAATCAAATATCCATGAAATTTGCTTTGAGAAGGAATATAAATATTTTGAACTTATTATTTCCTACATTGTTGTTTTACTAAATTAATTTAAAACCTGAATTATTGATAGCCATTATATGACCAAATGCAAATAAAACACTTGCTTGTAGTTCATGACTTGAATAAGTGTTTTGATATTTTTTGCTTCAATTGTTGAAAAATCAATTGTTAAAGCCACTACATCCCTGAGGGAAAATCTAATAAAAATACAAATTAAAAAATAAATTTTAAATAAATTAAATATAACTGAATTAGAACAGACCTATCTATCAATTGTCTGCCATGCTGCAGTGTAAAACACAGAGCCAAACCAAAATTAAACATTTCTTGATTAAGATAAGCAGTCATCACGC